CCTCGGACCTTGAGGTAAAATGACTGAGTCCATATCCGCCACCCATGTGCCAGTCTGTGATTAGGGGCTTCCAGATTTCACTGTCCCCCTGTCATCACTTGCTGATATCCATGGGACTTTTGTTGGTTTGTTTTTATTTTTCGTGGAAGATGCCTTTGCGTGAGTTTTTTTAAATGGGGGGAGGTCAGTGCACAGCTGATCAACACAAATTGTCTTCACAGTGTGAGGTCCCATCTAGTGGCATGGTTAACACGACGACTGTGGCTTCTCAATCTGTTGCAGCCTTATTCCACCTTCATAGCCGTTATAACATGTACCATGTTATCCTCCACCTGCTCCGCCGTTGAGGTCTTTGGGTCTTTGTATTATGCTTGGTCTGGAACCTCCCCTGCATCCACTCCTGGGAGTACACGACTCCAGTGGTTGTGCCCGCAGGTTCATTGGAACACACAAGCCGCCTCATCACAACAAAGTGATAATCCATCGAGGGGGTGATCTTTTCTAAACTCTTATGCAAAGAGTTTCAGTGATCTAGACTCAAAAACTGCATGGAAATGTAAATTTTTCATTCTCGTCTCCTGGTCTGCAAACCTTTACAATCTGCATATTAGCTGAGAAAAATGCTCAGCTAATCATGCCCTCTTTCTCCCTTGTATTTTTAGCCTGAATGCTTGCTTGTTCCAATAGCTAAGATAATCCTGCACCCTTCTCTGTCAAAGACTCCTCCTCAGTGACTTACTCCGCTTTCTATTTCCTCACACCTGTAGAGCTGATGTTAATGATCCAAACGGTAATGTTCTAAATAGGCTTCCTCAGCTTATCTGTACCCTCTCATTCTCATAAGGGATACATACTCCATTTGGGAGAGCCAAGTGCTGTGGTGTCCGTGGCAAATGCATTTGTGGGCTCTAGGGCAAAGTATTGGTTTGTATTGCAGGCAAACCACATGCTGCACATTTAACCCCATAGAGGCTGAATATGCCCATAAGCACAGCAGAGAACATGCTACCCCTATCCCCCAGTCCAACAATAGCTGGAAAACCTTATATTCCACCTTCTTGTGACAGATGCTACTTTATTGCCTGCATTTTAGTTTGCAACCTCAAATATTCCTTAGTAGAAATATTAAACTGCAATTTTCTTTGCTTTTTCATCCATTCATGTTTAATTTGGAGAGACGATGTGGTGTAGTGGATTGAATGTTGGACTATGTCTCTGGAGACCTGGGTTCGAATCCCTTCTTGGCCATGGAAACCCACTGGATGACCTTGCTCATATTTTGGTTCTGTGTGAAGAATAATTAAAATGCTTCTCGTAATTATGGAGGAAACATAGAATGACTGCTGCCCTGTAAAATAACCGCTTGGCTGTTGTTCCCTATGGATTCTCTACTTTGAATTTTCATGCTTTTCTCTGCATACCAACCAGTTCTTGCTAGAATTCCAAACCTGACAACCATTTTGAACTTAAGTACACTTACAAGCACTTACAGAGCACTGACAGATTATTTGTCATTATGCCAAACGTGTTAAATACTTTGTCGCATAAACAGGCTCCTTGGTGCTAACAGGCACTTAAACCACTTTGTCGGGTACGCTGATAATTTGTGCTTGCTCTGGGGCTGTGCATCCCTTTCTAGAAGATGGTAGGTAAATAGTTGCATCATAGGGGTTCAGAAGTGCTACTACATCTCTATTTTTCAGTCCCATTTTACACAAGACACCCCTTCCCTTTGTTCATCTTTTTCTTCCTAAAAATACTGTCCGTTTTCACATGCTGTCTTGGATCCAGTGAACTTTGAATTCAATGCAAATGTGTTTTATTAACATGTTGTTAAATATAGGTACAGTTTGTCATAGTGTATTGAATAAAGAGGATAACACATGGTGGGCCATGAAATCTATATAAATAAAAATGTAATGTTCGTTTGTGGGATTAACATAACTCAAAAACCACTGGGCGAATTGCCACCAAATTTGGACACAAGACATCTACTACCCCAAGGATTAACCATCACTCAAAAAATTGATTTTGTCATTTGGGAGTTGTAGTTGCTGGGGTTTACAGTTCACCTACAATCAAAGAGCATTCTGAACCCCAACAACGATGGAATTGAACCAAACTTGACACAAAGGATTCCCACAACCAACAAAAAATTCTGGAAGTGTTTGGTGGACATTGAACTTGAGTTTGGGAGTTTAGTTCACCTACATCCAGACAGCACTGTAAATTCAAACAATGATGGATCTGGACCAAACTTGGCACGAATACTTCATATCCCCAAATATAAACACAGTTTGGGGGGGGGGGAATAGAACTTGACATTTGGGAGTTGTAGTTGTTGGGATTTATAGTTCACCTACAATAAAAGAACATTATGAACCCCACCAACGATAGAATTGGGCCAAACCTTCCACACAGAGCCCCCATAACCAACAGAAAATGCTGTGTTTTCTGGTGGACTTTGGAAACCCTTCTGACACCCCCTCACAACCCCCCCCCCCGGTGTGCTAACCCCCAGGTTGTGAAATGCTGCCTTAAGGCCATCCAGTCCACCTCCCCTCACCAGGACAAGAAAACATAATCAAAGCCCTCCTGACAGCCATCCAGCCATAGGTATAGATATACATGATTCATGCACACATATATATATGTATATGACAGATATAATATCATAGATTTGAAAGGGACCGTTAAAGAAGGACAGTGATATGTTGCATGTTCCAGAGTAGGCAAACTAGACAATCTCCACATCAACACTGACAAAGAAACAACAAGAAGTACTGTTTATCCACAAGCATAAAGAAATTACATATATATTACAAACCAACACTTTCTCCTTACTTAATTTTCCAGATCACCAGACTGGGCCACGGCAACGCGTGGCAAGGGACGGCTAGTGATCTATAAAAGTGCTTGTGCAAGTAGAAGGACCTATTTGGATTTGGGCCTTTTCTCTGATGCAAATTTTTTCTAGGTTGGAAACACCCCTTCAATGAGGGAAATAAGGAACCCATTCTCTTCAGAGACATTGTGTTCATGTGCATTGTTCTGTGAAATTCTGTGTACTCTTGAGTTCTACATTTGGGGTAGATGTTCTTTGGGGTAGAGATTGAAGGCACAATCTCCATGGTGGTAATTCTCTTCCCATCTGGACCTCCATTTTGAGGTCATTGTTCTTGCAGGTGTCTGATCACTTACAGAGGGATGCTTGAGTGCTGGAGTCTTTTGGCTCTCATCCAGCCAATAAACAGTATGATGACTTTCTTCAGTTATTCCAGTTTCATGCCTTCAGTGCTGAGAATAGAATCATGCAGCTGAACAAAGGACTGTGTTTCTTAGATGAAGAGTTTGCACAATGTACACAAACTATTTGAAGTTCATCTGGTTGGTGAAAGTTAAATGGGACTCAAATACTTAGAGCAGCAGCTACTGGAAATGTAATGGGTTTCTTTCCAATCAGAAGGGACTTTCTCACTTTTTGTTCCTTGACAAGGGAATGTTTAGGATATTGTGCTTCTGCCCTTTGGCGTGCCACCTGTCTCTTGGAAAAATGCCAGTGTTATTGCTGAAAGATTACAGCTGGTTGGATTATATCTCTGTGTGCTTTTGTGATTATGCTGCAGCCTGTAGTTAAGCACTGAGCACTGTTTTGTCACGTTGCAAATTACAAATGCTGGTCCTTCCCAAGTACAGTGTCAGGCACAAATAGAAATGTTCATGACACTGCATTGTACCTGAGAGTTGTCTTGTCTGTATGTTCTAGATTAGGGATTTTTATATACTTTATTCTAAAAATAAAAATGTATCTTCCACGACCCAGCCTTTGTTTTCTTTAAATTGTTCAGTGTTAAATTATGAATCCTGGGGTCTTTGAAATTGATTTGATAGGAATTGAGATAGGTCCCCCTTCATCTTATATAATTTACAGTGACCCCATCATGGGGTTTTCTTTGCAGAGTTTGTTCAGAGAGGGTTGGTTATTGCCTTCTGTATGCCTAAGAGACTTGCCCAAGGTTTCCAAAGTTACAGTCCAGTCGTCCTCAAACCACTGTACTATACTGGCTAGATCAATAAATGTTTTTGTCTCTTCTCCTTTTTCCTATTGAAAATGTGACCTAAATAAAGCCAGTTTCTCATAGATATACATAAGATATAGTTTGGCATTTAAGACACTGGATGTCCTTGAACAAATTTAAAGGCCTTGAGCATGCCACAACGGTATAATCTCACTTTAGTCACAACTAAGGGCCTTTCCAGATAGGCCCTAAAGCCCAGATTATCTGACAGTGGGGACTCATATAATTCAGTTTAATACAGAAAACCTGGGATCAGATCCTGGGATATAGGGCCTGTCTGGAGGGTGATACTGAGGCATCTTAAGCAGTTTCATGTACTTATCCCCTCTTATCTGCGTTTAAGATTAAAATCTCAGTCTTCATCAGGTGAGGTGTGTTGGCTGGCCCTCTATTTAGCACATAGCCAGCATATTAACTTTTCATTTTTCAGTGTGTAGAAAGAACCAGATGGAGGTTCAGATACTATGCTTCCAAATTACCATGTTAGTATTTTGCATGAAAAGTATGACACATACAAGGTAACTCACAACAACTAACATATGATAAGGTGGCATACTACTGTGTATTGTAAAGTGACACACTACATTAAAGATCTAAGGATATTGATGCTCAAATTATTATCACAGTAGTTAGAAACCTGTGTAGTTATGCCAAGAGAAGTGTTGGATTCCAGTACAGGTATATACTAGTTAACAAAGCCTTCTGATTAAGAAGCTCCTTTTTACAAAATCTTTTCTGGTGCAAGAGCCTATCTCTTTTCCTTCCATGCTATTTCTGCCTGTGTCACCAAATATTCTTCCAGAGACTTAATGCCCAGGAACACATTGATTTGTTAACTGGGGTATGTATACCTTCCTTGCCTACCTGTTATAAAACCAAGTGAATTTAGTGATGTATTTTTATTTTGCTTGTTTCCTGCAGGCAGAACTCACAGGCATCAAGTGGCGCAGGTATAACTTTGAAGGCCATGGAGATTGTGGCCCGATTATCTCAGCACCGGCTCAAGATGATCCAATTCTTTTGAGTTTCATCCGCTGTCTGCAGGCCAATCTGCTATGTGTCTGGCGCCGGGATGTCAAACCAAATTGTAAGGAGTTATGGATATTCTGGTGGGGAGACGAACCAAATTTAGTGGATGTGATACATCGCGAACTTCACAGTGAGTATTTTTCTTTTTCCTTGGTCTCTCTTTTCCATTTCAATTTACAGTGATTCCACAGTGAAAGCTTATTTTGCTAGTGCTTTTAAATATAGATTCAAACATGCTTACTGAACTAAAACAGAGAAAGAAAGTGTCTAAGAGCCTGGTGACCATAACATTTTTAATATAGGGACTTAATTGTCTGTGATTTTGAAGATATGGAGAAGCTTTTCTTGCATTCTATGATAAACTTAATTAAATGACCATGCAATTGCCCTTTAGTGTGTTTCTTTTCTGGTTCCTGCTTTGTCTCTTCTTCTTTCACATTGCATAGAAAGTTTAATCAGATTTCTGAGACAACAGGTACCTTACAAATTTTATATCACATTGCTCTGAATGAACTCGGCGTAATCCTGTCATTGGCAGTCAGCATTCCTAGGCCAGTTGGAATTTGCTGGGTTGGGTGTTCTGGAGTTGTGAGGGCCCTTCTACTTGGTGCATTCTGAACTGGTGTATAGTAGAACACACCTGATGTGGCTCTGTTGAGGTTTTTAGTTGACAATTTGTGCAGCTGGCCTTGGGCCTGTTTTGCATGGAGGCCTCTGTACTCTGCCTTCCTCAGCCTGAAATCATGTGGCTGAGTTGAGGCTAGCATTTTAATACTCATTTGCTCTGATAGACTCAGTAACACTGAGTTGAACTTGTAGGTTAATGAGGGCATAGCTGGGGAATATTATTTTTATCTTGCTCTTTGCATATAGACAAAGGCTCAAAGTGGCTTTCACATTGTTAATTTGTCAGTTCTCTGCACTTGGGGTTAGCATTTAAATAAGACAGGACACACAAGGAAAAGGGAATGACAGTGTGGGAGGAGATTAGGTCCAACAAATACTGCCTTTTCTTCTCTCTACTCAGTTGTGATGGAGAGGAGGGCCTTTCACATGTCTTTGGGCCTAGGCATGATGGAGCTGTGCCTACCGCTTCCTCCGAGGCCAGGGCAGTGGCTGTTGGGATGAAATATTCCTTTTCTTTTCCGTTTTGAAATTTGTATTGCAAATATCTTTGTGATTATGAGTGTTGCAGCAAAGAGTGAGAATATCCCTGTGGGTGAGGCAATAGGGCAGTTTTTTCTCTCTTACTGTCTTTGAAAAGCAGTGGCTTCCTTTTGATCAAGAAGTTTTATCTTGGCTCACATAGCGCTTGTATCTTTTGCGATTTCCTTTAATCCCTTTATAGAAAGCCACCACCTCCCTTTTTCCAGTGCTTTCTTCAATGCTTTCCTTTCTCTTTATTTACTTCTCAACTTCCTTTTCCTTCTCCAAAAAGGGATATGGTTCACCTACAGGATACCTGTATTCATATCTCTGTTCAGCTGCTTCATCCACTTTGCCTTAGGGACTATTTTCAGTTCAGTGTTCAGCAGCTCAGCTTAGCCACTGCCCCCAGGGTTTTTTTGTGAAGTGCATGGGACGCATTGCTACACATCTGTCAACAGGGAATCTGTTTTCCTGCATGTAGACCACTCATTACTCATTATGTTCATGAATCATCCTCTGTCAGCTAATGTTGCCTTTACACTTGAGGTTTGGGTATCTGTGCCAATGCATTAAAGTCTTCCTGCATAACAACTTGTCACCAAGCAGTCATAGATGCGTCTCTAGATCCTGTGGCTGTTTACACTTTCCTGGTCTATGGGAGTTCCCGAACCTTCCTGGGTTTAATTCAAAGACAAAGCCATGTTAGTCTGGAGAAGTTTAAAAAAACAATTTTTAAAAATCAGTGTCAAAATTTGGAGCATGCTTTGCCTTCCACTGTTATGGCTCAGCTAGCATCAAACCCATCCAAAATGTAACTTCTTGCTTGCTTTCTTTCATGACCGCCTTTTACTTTTGTAACACAAGCTGGAAAATTTTGATCTCTTTACTGAGATCCACCCCATTAAGTCCTTTGTACAGATAAAATGATGATCAATCCATATGTGTTTTCTTTTCAGAATAGTTCCACATAATCAGAATGGTGCCTCACAGAGTTCTGGGATTCAGTGTTCTGAATTCCTTGTCAAGTTTGCATGTACTGAATGTGCATTGAGCCTTGACATTTTGCATCGACAGAAACTGTTCTGGTCCAGCTTACCTGTCCAAACACATCTCCCTTTGTGAGCCAGCTAGAACAGTTAGATCTGCTGAGGAGGTCCTGCTCTCAGTTCCACCACCTTCGCAGGTGCAGTTGGTGGGGATGAGAGACAGGGCCTTCTCAGTTGTGGCCCCTTGGCTATGGAACTCCCTCCCCAGTGAGAGTAGGAAACAGCGCAAGACTTGGTTATTCAAGCAGGCATTTGGCAAATGACAGAAATCTGGAAATATAGAAGTAAAGACACCCGGGATTGATGCAAGGTCTAAATGTTTTATGTTGTGTCTGTGATTGTTTTTATAGTTTTATAGTTTTAGTTATTTTAGTCTATTGTCATTTGTTGTTGATTTAATATGTGATGTTTTATACATGTGAGAGATTGAATTTTGCCATTGATTATGTTGTGAACCACTTTGAGTCCCACAGGGGTGAGAAAAGTGGTATCTAAAGGCAATAAATAAGTAAAATAGTCTCACCCTTCTTTCAGTCCTCTGTTAGGGCCTTCAGAAAGTCTTGCCAGTGTTGATTGTGCTTTGCTTGTTGGATCTGTTGAAATGCGGTAATCGCTAGCCTGTTGTTTCTCCTTGGAATCTATGCAGATTCAGGTGTATTGTATCTCCCATGGCATTTTTCAAAGGGAAGGGGGTTGTCCCTTCCTGACTTGTCTTTTGTTGCCATCTGATTGTGAATATCTGAGCATGGGATACCTAATTTTGAACAGATCTGTTATTTGGAGCTCAGTAGCTATCTAGGTGCAAAGATGACTGCAGATGCAGACTGCAGCCAGGAAATCAGGAGATGCTTACTTCTTGGGAGGAGAGAAGTGACCAATCTTGATAAAATAGTGAAGAGTAGAGACACCACACTGGCAATGAAGATCCGCATAGTTAAAGCAATGGTATTCCCTGTAGTCACCTATGGATGTGAGAGCTGGACCATAGGGAAGGCTGAGCGAAGGAAGATAGATGCTTTTGAACTGTGGTGTTGGAGGAAAGTTCTGAGAGTGCCTTGGACTGCCAGAACATTCAACCAGTCCAAACTGCAGGAAATAAAGCCCGACTGCTCATTGGGGGGGGAAGGATAGTAGAGGCAAAGATGAAGTACTTTGGCCACATCAGGAGAAGAAAGGAAAGCTTAGAGAAGACAATGATGCTGGGGAAAATGGAAGGAAAAAGGAAGAGGGGCCAACCAAGGGCAAGATGGATGGATGGCATCCTTGAAGTGACTGGATTGACCTTGAAGGAGCTGGGGGTGGTGACGGCCGAGCAGGGAGTTCTGACGTGGGCTGGTCCATGAGGTCACGAAGAGTCGGAAACGACTGAATGAATGAATAACAACAAAGCTATCTAATGCTTCCTGTACAATTCTTGTCTTTTAGTATGGTACAGGCACCACAGAGACGTTAGACAGAACTTTTCGTGAAGTTCATTGAGTCACACTATATTGGTTCTTCTCGCTGCAGATGGTTCTTTTAAGCTGGTCTGCTTTGGTGATCTGTTTAAAAATTGAGTGGGAAGGTTGCTTTATAAGCGGGCACCCTCAGGGCCTAAGTGGTTTTCCCATCATAAATAATTTCATTTCCCATTTTTATTTGTTATACCCCATGTATAGAACTTTCTTCTCAGGCAGACTTGCCTGATGGCATCTTTATTTTGCTTTGTTTACCATGCCTTATAATGCTGTATGTGTTTAATGGTGGATTAAAAAAACACACACTACTGTGTTGTAATTCTGTTTGTTGTGCTTATTTGCATGATTTTTCCCACTGTTCATTGTTAGATTTTGTGACCTGGAATACTTTATTTATGTAAGCAGTTTTGAGAGTCTTTGTCATCTGGAAAGTGTAATAGAAAAGAAAAAAAGCCCTTCTAAAACAAAGATAAATAAAATAAGCACATTGTTGAACTTGTAACAAATATGGCAAGAACATTAATATGTCTGTCTATGTTTCCTGGTAAAATACGCATTACAGAAGGTAGTTTTTTGCAGTATAGTGGTCTGTGGTCATCAACGTGTAGTGTCGTTGTTGTTACCCTGGTCTGTAACATACCAGTGTTATGACTGGGTCTTAACAAAGTGCATGTCTTCTCAAATCCCAGATTGTTTACTTGGCATGGAAGCTGAGAATTCGCAGAGCAGGGATGATTTCTGTGTGTCTCTTGGCCTATTTTATGCAGGTAGCGATGTGTTCATGTATAATTAAAGAGACAGCTCCGAAGTGCTGCATCAAGCAATTCCACGGATGTTTAATTTTTAATGAGGCACCTGTTTGGAGTGGAGGCATGGGTGACATTCCCACTTACCCAGCTAAGCTTTAATAATATGTTTTCTCTTCATGAAATGTAGTTTATTTGTTTTTCAAGTGTAGTTCGCGGCTGAAATATGTTCAGTGATCATCTTATTGGGAAGAAATTGCATTTCTACCATTTCCTTTGCTACTATAAAAAGGTGTCTGTGGCTTCTGTGTAACGCTTTAAGTAACCAAATTATACTACTTGCTGTTTCTGGGGTTAACTGTAAGCTTGAAAAAACATATAACATCTGTGGCAGTGAATCCGTCGTTGCGTTTGTACTTCTGCACTTCAAATGCTTCTCAAAGAAACAATTACAGCACCTGTTGGTTGAGATTTATGAGTAAGATAACACGAACTTTGCTACTAAGCATGCCTCTTAGAAAAGAAAAATCTTCTCAAAATAAATGGGTAGTGGGAATATTTGTGGAAAGAGAAGAGAATGGAGCCCCAAACTGAAAGAAATCTAACCCTTGTGAGGTTTAAGAGGAAAGCCAAGTGCAGATTTCATTCCTGTCCAATTCTTCTCAAATGTTTGATTTGACACTTGGATAGGGAAAAAGGTAGATATTCTGAAGGCAGTTTCCCTGTGTCACA